TAGGGCAACATGTCTCTGAGGTTGTAAAAAATGGGGCAAGTGGGGAACTGAGAGTGATGCTCTTTCGAGGCAGGAGATGGCAGTTTCTGGTTTTCACTGACAGAGGTAGTAGCAGCTGGGAGATGCCATCAGTATGTATACATGCATACGTACTCTTGTCTCCAGTGTGTTCCTACATCACTTCTTTCTCTTTCTCTGCGGAAGAAAATAAGACCCTGGTAACTCTGCTTCCCACCAGCAGCACCACCCCACACCCTTGAACACCTTTAGTACAGTCCCTGTGCCAAAGACCACTGAGGTAAACATGATGGTGAGTATGACAGGGATAAATGACTGTGGAGCTCCACTGACATTTATGTAAGAGGACGAGTATATTGCATAGCAGTCTTGAGGAACATTTTCATATGGTTGTGATGAATTAAATGCAGCAAATTCTTTGGCAATTCAAGTGCAAACTCATGGATTTATTTATTTATTTTTCTAGCTGTAGAGCACTGTCCCAATTTTTGGATTGGCTGCTACTGTAATGCCATCACGGGCATCAATCTTAAATTTTAGATTTTCTCTTGCAGTCCTTTGCTCTTATAAATACTTTATTTTTTATAAAGATATGCCACAAATCTTTGATCCCAACTCAGTGTCTAAGACCAGAAATATCTTTTTGCAGGTTCACAGTTCCACACTAGTCATTTGCAAATTATTATAGTAATCAACAAATAAAAGAGGAATATTTGGGATGGTAGTACTACAGTGACCTGAGTATTACTACCTGCTCTCTGTCTCCCAGGACTCCTTTTGTCCATCTGCTGTCATCCTGCCTTGTACACCTGTCCAATGACTGGCTATTTTCCCCTGCTCTTTCTTGTTTAGAAGACAATTTGAGGAGCCTGTTGCTGATTTATGAGCCCTTTCATGGTTTTAATTCTGTTGAACCTGACTGACAGAAACAAATGTCACATTCCCAAGTGCTTTGCAAGAAACTGGAATTTAATTGGGTCCTCAGATCCAACAGATTCTGATTATCTGCTCTGGAATTTTCCTTTGTAAGCATTATTTTTGAAGCAGCACTTCATTTGAGCCTTGACTAATAACTTCTACTCTGCCAGTGATCTACAAACACTTTTTATCACATAACGCCTGACTGGGATCCAGATTGTTTGTATAGGTAGTAAAGAACCTACAGCTCTGTGAACATTCCTGGCATAATAGTGTTAGACCACTCATTCTTCAGTGGTTTTAACAAAAGAAATTCCTGGGCACAGCCAGGCACTTCTCAGCTCTGGGAGCAGCCAGCCTAGCAGGCCTTGAAGCCTTGTTTGTTTTCTAGTCCTTACAGCAGCTACTTATCCATTGTAATCCCTGAATTGATCCTGTCATTGCAGTTCAGGGAATCAGAAAAAATGTCTCATAGGGGAAAAGGATCACTTGGCTATAAATCTGATAGGTTACGCCTCCATAGGAAAATGCTTAAAAAGGCTTCAGAGGACAAAAACCCATCTGAAAATGCAGTAAGAAAGCCTGTCTGCCCAAGTGGAGCTAATCTTACTTTGCAGAAGGAAAAAACTAGCTCAGTGGCCAGGGCTGTGCATTTTATTTTGCACATATACCAAATATATCTATATAGCAAGGTGCTTTAGTTTTCAGTCCAGATTTTACCCTAATTCATAGTTAGGCTTCCAGTCAGATATGGATAGACTATTTCAGATACACAAAGAACATCAGGTGATAACAGAGGCTATTCATCAATATATCAGAATATATGTTTGGAAACCACTTGCGAGGCTCCAAAGAAAAATGTTGTTCCAGAAAAACTTCAGTAGGAATGTGCAAGATAGAACAGGAGAGCCCAGGTTCTGAGTGTATTGTTTTCACAAGCTATAGAAAACATGGACTTTCTGAGATGGGAGGAACCTGCTTCCTCTGAGGAAGCCTGAGCCCAAGCTCAGCAAAGTCATCAGCATAGCCCCGGTGGGAGCAGGATCAAATCCAGGGCTTACTGTTCCACATACTTCTTGAGCTCTGTCAGGCTTGGTGCTGTGACCACTTCTCTGGGGAGCCTGTTCCAGTGCTCAACTACCCTCTGGGTGAGGAAACCTTTTCTAATACCCAACCTAAACCTCCCCTGACACATCTTCAGGGCATTCCCTTGGGTTCTGTCGCTGGTCACCACAGAGAAGAGATCAGTGTCTGCCCCTCTCCTTCCCCTCATGAGAAAGTTGTAGACTGCGATGAGGTCTCCCCTCAGTCTCCTCTTCTTCTCCAGGCTGAACAGCCCAAATGACCTCAACCCCTCCTCATATGGCTTCCCCTGAGAGTCCTTCACCATCTTCATTGCCCTCCTTTGGACGTTCCCTAATAGTTTAATATCTTTCTTATATTGCAGCACCCAAAACTGCACACAATATTCAAGATGAGGCCTCAGCAGTGCAGAGCAGAGCAGGACAATCCCCTCCCTTGACCGGCTGGCGATGCTTTGCCTGATGCCCCCTAGGACTTGGTTGGCCCTCCTGCCAACCAGCTGCCCCCAGTTGCCAGGGCACTGCTGACTCACATTCGACTTGCCCTTGACCAGGACCCCCAGATCCCTTTCCGTGGCACTGCTTTCCAGCATGTATGCTCCCCAGTCTGTATGAGCATCCAGGGTTGCCCCATCCCAGCTGTAGAATCTGGCACTTCCCCTTGTTAAACTTCATATGGTTGGTGATTTCCCAGTCCTCTAATCTGTTGAGGTCTCTCTCCAGGGCCTCCCTGCCTTCAAGGGAGTCAACAGCTCCTCCCAGTTCTGCGTGATCTGCAAACTTGCTGAATATCCCCTCCAGTCCAAGTCATTTATGAAGATGTTGAAGAGCACAGGGCCTAAGATAGAGCCCTGTGGAACCCCACTAGTGACAGGTCACCAGTCTAATGTTACCCCATTCACTATTACCCTTCTGTTTCTCATGCAGTGCAGAAACAACTGCAAAATGAACCAAGCCATAAATAGTTTAATAAGAAACAAGATAGGTGTTTGGCTGTCTGTTTTTTAATAAGTCTGTTAAATACTCTTTTCCATCTTTCAGATATACTTAACCCAGCAGCATCTGTACTTGTAAGAAGGGACATTCAGTTACCTTATAACTGAATATGATTTTTATCTCAGTGACTCTCTTGAAGAATAGTCTACAGGTTCTTTTCAGTGTACAGCCTTGTGTAAAATTATACCAGTGTAAGTAGAGGGCAAGACCATTATTTTGTTATAGTTCCACAAAGATCTCCAAAACTCAAAACTTCAAGCTGTGCATTGTTTGCATTCTGCCAGCGTTATGTTTGCTGCAATCCCACAAATCAATCCTGATTTATTAGCACAATTACTCTTACCAGCCTCACTGAAGAGCAAATAAATACAGAAAAGTTAGAGCCAGTTAAATGTCTACTGTGCTCAGTCAGAAACCTAAATTACTTTGTACTGGGACTACCTTTTAAGTCCTTTTCGAAAGCACAGGGAATCCCATGCTGAATTGCCTCTGGACCACTTTGCATCACATAAAGAGCAGCTGAAGGAGATTTGTGATCAGGACTATCAATTAAGTTCCTTAATTGGCAGGAGCAAGTGAGGATGAAATCAATCCCAATCCTGAAAATATTTGTAAGGGTGAAGGCATTAGAGAGGAGCAGTTCTGCTCTTTCCATGTGGACTACAGCACAGCTGTAATTATCCACCAGTGTCAAAGTGAACAGGAGTCATTCTTCCTTGCTTCTTTCTTTCCAAATGTACCAACAGAAGCCTAAAATTCTGTTGCATACTATGCATGTGCATGTGAGAGGTGTTTATGTACATACACGCATGTGACTGTGCTTCTTGTGTGTTATGTGATGAATACTCAGACAGTCAGACCTCTGATGACATCAGTAAAACCAGAGCAGTTTCTACTTCTTCTACTCTCTACCTTCTACTACGGATTTATAACTGAAAACATATCTAATGAATTTTAGGACTGCTTAGGGTGTTCATGTGTCTATACATGAGCATATGGATGTAAATGGGAAACCCACACTTCCAGAGAGAGTCCATGAGCAAAGACTGTCACTGCTTGCATTACTGACTGCACATTCCCTTTTACAAGAGGCTCAGAAATGCCAAGCCATTTCAGCTGATGGCATCATAACAATAATTATATTCTGAACTTTACAGCTGACAGCATTTCTCAAAGAAATTCATTCATAGTGATGTTAAGGACAAGGCCAGCTTTGGTACATGTATTGCTGTATACAACTCAGTAAAAATAAAAACTGGAATTTCTAGGTAATAAAGCATAACAAAATTACTGTTTTCATGGGGTATAACACAGATAAATCATACAAACAATTTTCTCTAGATACTAAATATAAGTTATGGCAAAGTTATTCTAGTTATTTTCATGACAAGCATCAATCATCTCTTTTGATTGATACACAATTGCAGACCTGATGAGAGCACTAAGCATCTTCCTTTCAGGATAAATGGATGAAGAAATTAAACATCTGCTTTTGAAAGGGTAGTGAGAGACAACTGGAGGCTATTGCCCAAGAAAATGCCTTTAATTACAAAGGCTGGACTAGGCCTGATGGTCTAAAGAAGCTGGGGATTTATTTCAGTGATTTGAGTGAAAAAAAAAGAAAACAAAACTGTGGAATTTATGCAGCCATGAGAGGGTTTATGGGGAAAAGTAGGGAGACTCTTTTCTTCTCAGGCTCTCTTTCCACAGGCATGGAATAAGCAGGAGGAAAACCTGAACTAGTGAAGAAAAAAACTCCCTGTTCTGGTTTCTGTCTTGGCAGGACAACAGCGTTTTCTATACGCCATTTGTAACATGTAGCATTATACCAACGAAGTGCTTGTATTGTTGGAAAATTATTTGTATAATTTTAACCTTTGGAATAAATTCTGAATTCTATTAGTTCAGCACCCAAATCTGTTTAAAATATTTGTCCCTTTGCCTTGTGCTCTCTTTTCGATGCTGTACTGGCCAAAACTTAGAGACATGACTAATGAGTTCAAGGTTGCTGTACCTGGAAAGATGTCCAGGTAAAATGTGATGCATTTATGTTCATGAGCTGTCTTTAACACCTCGGTTTAAAGAGAAACTGCCTAAAGAAACTTGGCTTTCCTAAGCACAAGTTGAACCACAGGCTCTTTTATGGGACGAGTGAGGTTGGAAAAAAGAATGAGAAGATAAACAGCAACACTTACTTATGCAGTCACAATTAATAATCTCTTATACCTTCTTGGTTTAATAAAGCAATAATGTGCTTAAATCCCTTGAGAAAAGAGAGCGAACTGTATGCTTTTACATACCATTTTTTCTCGTGGAAAGCTACTCAGGATGCTCGTGCCTCCAGTGAGATTCCGGGAAAGAGCATTCACCGGGCATCTGTGCACTGCTATTCCTGACAACAGGTACCCATAGTCACACTTGCACTTGTGTGCAGTGGCGGTGCTGAGTAATTGGTCTCCTAGTCCCAACTCTGAACATGCTGAAAAATCTTGAATGTGCTCTGCTTATTATTTAAGGCATAAAAAATCCCAAGACCTTTTAAAGGCAACCTGCTGCCTGAAAGACAGGATAAGATGTGTAAAGGAGATGAGAGTATTTAGGTTTGCAGACATGCTCTTGAGCATATAGCTTTTCCTCTAGCCTCAAGATACTAGATGAATTTTGAGGTTCAGATTTTTGGCTGTATGTTCAGAGAGTTTTGTAGGATTTCTGCATCTCTTTGTTTTGTAGCTGGAGAATCTTCCTCCTACCCAGCAAATCCTACCACCCACACAGCTAATAGATATCTTTTGGCGCTGACTGGTACACCATTCATAATACTGTATAACAACTAATGTATAGTGTGTGGGGATAACAACACCATATCACAGATAGTAAAGAGGATAGGATAGGAATTAGTATCACTGCCACTCACTAACCAGCAGAGCCCAGAGTGGAAATCCAAGGCATACTTGTGAGTAGAATGATGCTGAAAGAAGAGGGATGACTCCGATGAGACCCTCGGTATCCATGGGAGATGCAATGATGAAGTCTCCTGAAGATGACAGTGAATAAAGGATAGAACATGCCTGCTCTGAAATCCATCTTCTGTTTGTTAGTTTTCATGCATTGTCTCTATGTCACACCAAGGACAAGCTGAAGGCTGCAATATAAATAAGATGTCTGTTGGAGAAATATGTTTCTTGTTATATGCTTTATAAGGTAAAATCAAGTTAGCAATTGAAGTACTCTGGACAGGACAGGTAACATCTCCCAGAGGAGCACTGAATGCTTCATTTACATTGCAAAGGGTGAAGAGTGAGAGTCAAATGAAGCCAAATAGGGAACTGAGTTGGAGTGGAATGATTTGTCTTCTAAATATGGGATTTTTTGTCTCACTTCCAGGACAATGCCAGGAGTGAAATACCGGATTTTCACTAAAAGAGAATATTGATGTGCAATATGCCATTGATTTCATGAAGATTACTTCTGCTTCTGATATTCACTTGTAGACAGTAATGTGAGGAACAATTAGAATGCCTCAGAAATTAAAAAGCTTGATGATGTTATAACTAATAGTGTGAATATTGGTTGTTTTATCCCCTCCGTGATGATTGACAATTTCACCAAAATAAATCCTGAGTAACTGTCAAGAACAAAGACAATTTTCAGGTGTATCTCAAGTGTGAATTTTTTTTCATTTTTCTATTCCAATTTTGTGTGCTTGGAAACTCCGTTTTGGTTGCTGTTAGCTTTTGTGTAACACTTTGTTGTTATTTTTATAAACCTGGCTCAAGCTGATTGATACACTGTTGCTCCAAGAGAAACAAATTTACCCTTTCTGATGTGTATTTTTAGGGATAAATCTTAAAAGTCTAATACACATTTCTAATTATTGTGTGGGAAATTAACCATGTTGAATTTCAGTGAGTGTCTCTAATGTATCAAAATATGAAAGACAGATAAACTAACAAACATAAGGTGTTAGCACAGTGAGAAGATATTTATTTATAAGCAGCATTTAACACCATTTAATTCATGATTTTGCTTTCTACTGACCATCTGTCATAGCTGCTCTCAGCCTCACAAACCCCGTGAACTTTGCCAGTGCTGGTGTTAGACTTGAAAAGATGCTGCACCCACCCACCGCTATCACTCAGACCCATAGACCATATTGTGGCAGCATGAAACAAAGAGTGGTTTTGGCAGGAACTAGAAGAGGCTGCTCCTCTCTGGCTGCTTCCAAAGTAGCAGGCATTTAATTGGATTAACTGGACTGAGGTCACTATTGCTGTAAGAGGTAGCATCAGGTTCAGTGTCAGATGACCTCTTGGTAATCAGAATATTCTTAATCAGGGTCATTTGAGAAATGGTGAGAATTAAACCCATGTTTCAAGATTGTACTCCCCTCACAAATGAGGTTATAGCAAGACCAGGTGAAATGCATTTGTTATTTCAAAAATAGCTTGTATGGCATAGAAGTAGTCAGGAGCTTTTAAAATGCAGATTATAAAAACCTTCTTAGAAACCTGAAAAGCAGTGGACACTCACAAGCTGTATTAATGACTTCCATCAGTGCAGCCTGGCACAGCTGATTGCAATAAACTTCAAAAGACTTTTATCAAATATTAATTATTTTTAAATTCTCTTTAAGACATGTGTGGACGTGGTAGTCCATTCCTTGTATTCAGCTCACAAATATATGTTTTTAAAGCCTGTGGATCCTGACATGCATATTTGTCACATTGATACAGAGACAGTTGCTGAAACTCCCATTTATAGTCTCCTTGGACTATCCAACAGCTCTGGGAGGAGTTTGTTAACTTGTGTTCTTGCCACTGTCCTCACACTGGCTGAGGAGGAACTGTTCTCACCTCTGTTGTAGAGTATGTGCATCTACACTATTTTACTACTATTTTACAGAGTGTAGAACACTGATTTTCAAACCCCTGTTTGCAAACTTTCTTGCTTTTTTGAAAATTTGTGCCAGCCTTAGGCTAGAATTTCCAAAAGTATTTCAGATTTGGCAACTAAAGGAAGTAAAAATGGACAAGAACCGTCCCTCAGATATGTGCAGATAGAGGTAGTACAATAATAATAGTGGTATCATTGAGCAGCTATCATTTTTTACAAGATTGTAATGATTTGATTATCTTAATCCTGTTATTTTGACATTTCATATAAAATTTTGGGTATTCATGTTATTGGCACCCTGTTACTGACCTCTGATCTGCTTATTATCAAGAATAAAGCTTGGGTACACTTTGTAAACAACAGTGGTATCTGCTATACCCTCTGTATCTCTTTAGCATTCTTTTATTGCCCTAGTGAACATAGAAAATGCCTTGTGAAATAAAAGAGACTCATGGACTCCATAGGACACAGGGAATGTATAGTAGTCTGAGGAAGTGCATGAAGCTGGAAGTGCCTTTTATTTCAAACTATTTGAGGACGCACATTCTGGAAACTGTTCTCTCTTCCCATTGGCAAATCTCTCATGAGAGTTGTGGTAAATTGGACGCAATCATTCCTCAAAATCTGCTCCATTAGCATAGATGTCAAGCTGGACCAGCCAGTGCAGGTCTATTGTCTGTATCATGCCTAAAATGTTTGCCTGCATACCTTCAAGCGTGCCATCTCCTGGATTTCCCCACCTACACTGAATGCATATGAATTACAGGTTGGTTCCTGCACTACAGGTGGACTTGTGGCAGCCCAGCAGCCCCTTCCACATCGTCGAAGGCACAGTCACTGACGTGCGAGTACCAGAGAACACGACCCGAAGCCTGCTGCCCTACCTCCAGCAAGCAAACATCCAGTACACGTAAGTCCATGCTTCACTTTCCTTGCCTTGCTCCAGAGATCTGGCCTTCCGGGCAGGTCTGCCTCTACCATGCCAAGTGTGCTTGGGAATACGTTCCACATCACAGCAATTAGACTGGCAGACAAATAGGCACTGCCAAGAAAACAACCGTTTTAATGGGAGAACAGAAAATCTCCCACAGGCAGGCAGTTTTAATTAAATGTCCTCCTTTGGAGTCAAGCTGAAGTGTTTTCAATGCATGCAAAATCACATCTATTAAGAGAAAGATGGTAATTACTAATTCTACAGCCTGCTTTGCCTCTCTGTATTTAGCAGGAGCAAGGTTTATTTAAAAGTGTGCTGCAAATGCAGAGGAAAGCCTTCTTCATCAACTATACAGAAACATATTAGTTCTATTATTCTCCAATCCTAGTGATCCAACACAAGTCATACAACATAAATACACACACGCTAAGGATCACGTATCATTTATAGTGTTCCTTAAAAAAATTCAAGACAATTTGAAGTATACTTATCCTTTCGTATTTAGCAGTATGATATACTGGACAAGAGTAATGATCTTGTCATTTAAGCCTTTTCAGTGAGATGCCTAAGCATCTGAATAATCAAGTGATGAGTTATTTGAATTCTCAAATATTTGCTAAGTAAAGACCTACATGAGGGTATTTATGTTTATTTTTCAGTGAGAAAAGGATGGTGCAAATCATACTGTATATGTATGTATGTATGTAGTACTGATCAGAATTCCATTTTTATTATAACAATTGTCTCTTATAAATTTGTTGTTCTAAAAATACAGAAACAAATATAAGGAGATTAATTACACAAGCTCAATGGCTGAAGTTCAGAGTGACTTTCATGTGTCTTCAACACCGCTTCAGTTTTGTTTATGTTTAAAACTGAGATGGGGATTTCTGTAATTGTTTTCCTGTGCTTATAAAAAAAAGTCCCCTAATTACTGTGCCCTAGCAGTTGTATTCACGTCTGTTGCTGTTCCTGCTCACAGTAATCACCTTTAATGAAATGACAGAAGGCTGTTTTATATGTGTTATAAACACTCACTGTACTTGAAGGCCTCTGCTTGGGTTGCAGAGCAGAGTGTGCAAGGGCAAGAACTGAAAGGGCAAAGGGTCTTTGCAGGTTACCTGAAACAACATGGTACAAATACTATGACAACATTGCATTAATCTTCCACAGGGAAAAATCCCCTCTCTGACTTTTGGCACACAAGCTGTGTGCACTTAGAAGGAAGCTGGGCAGCATTTTGTCAGGTCCAGACTTTTCCTTTGCTCTCCCTCTTCCTCCCCCTGCTGCCCATCTCAGATGGTCCAAGCCATCAGAAGCAAAACTCTTCAAAGCCTCTACAAGCAAGCCTCTACATTCCTGACAAGCCTCCTGAGATCTGTAACTCCACAAGAGCCAGGAGGATTTGCCGTGAAAGGAACAGCCACAGTCAGGGAGAGCAGGGTAACCAGGCACAACCACTGAGCTGAAGTGCATCTCCACAAGCAAGATTTTGTACAGCTCCTTTTCACATGGCTGGTTTTCACAATGTTTTTTTTTTTATTATTTAGTTTTTGCACACTCTGCAAAGCAGTTAAAATTGCTACATCCCTTTTGGAACTGGAAAATCTGAGGCAAACGCCAGCTAAAATTTCAGCCTGATGATTCCTTAAATTATGAAAAATTTCTAAACTTAGGAAGCATTAAGCTTAAATAGCTTAAATTATGACAAATTTCTAAAGTTAGGAAGCATTCCTAATAATGAACCATGTGACCAGTACTTGTCTGTAAAACAGGCTTATCTGTCTTTGGGCTTGACTTCATGACAAAATGGTCATGAAGACAAGCCAGGCATCAGATAAACTCTTTCTGCACCAAGTTGCTTCAGTTGTAAGTTTTCTGGTAAAGAAGCCACTTAGGTTGCATTAAAACCTGAGAGACTTAAGAGCCTTTCTGTTATAAACACACAAAGTACACAGTCACTTAAGAGTAAAGAATGATTATCAAATCTCATGCAGAATACAGATGCATAAACAATCAGGAGTTATGAAATGTGTTATTTTAAAAGTGAACAAACAGCGCTTGATTCTGGTAGGTGCTTACACTAATCAGAATTCTGCAAAGAAGTCAAGTATTTTTTTTAAATATTAAATGTCTTAATAACTTGAATAAAACCACTCCTTTAATCTAATTACAGGCATTACAGTACTGGTCTTACAGTATATATAGTACTTTGAAAGTCAAGACTATAATTCTTTAGTTTACTTAATGAATGTTGCTGATGTAGAACAATATAATTCCTAATTATACAACTACTTCACTAATGCATTTGAAGATGGGAATAACCTTTACTTTGATATTACATGTAGGTGGACCTATTACGTTTGAGGTACCTGCTGCACACCTGAGTTAGGAGCACAGTAAATGCCATTTCTTTCTGTCTTTTTCCTGTCACTGCAGCTGATGCCTATGAAAATTTAAAAGGTTGAATGTGACTATCATTTTACAGGAATGATGAATTAGTGGTGTGGTGATTACACATTCCCATGCTTTAGGAGAAGCTGGCATACAAGTATTGACTCAGTTCTACAGTCATGCTGTTACTGATGTCAGTGACAATATTCCCAGATCCTGCTACTACCTTGTGGAATGGATAGATGCTCCAGTTTCTTCTTTATAATTATTTTTAGATGTTTACTATATTATATTTGTATTTGTATCATTATTTATTTTTGCCATAAACCAGGAAAGATTTCCACTTACACAACTCTTTCTGAATTTTACTCATAATACAAGGAACCTTCTGCTTTTTATGCAAGTATATTTCATTTCCATTTGGTATTGTTTCATGGTTTTCCTGAGTTATTTTAATACAACTAGCAAACAACTATTACAGCATAGATAATGTGAACAACAAAGCACACTTGAGATTTTTTCTTTGTTTGCTGTTTAGGTAGAATGACAATGCTGCCAAGTTCTTCTTTTTTTGTTTTGCCTCTACAACCTGTAACTATATGTAATGTTCCGTGCCACAAAAAAAATAGTATGTGCATGTTTCTCTAAGCCTAAAAAGATTTTTAAATGGATTGAAATCGGTTTCTGAAGATCCATGATCACATAATATAACTGGATTACAAAAGAAGACAGCAAATGCTGCTCCATAAACAAATGAAAGTGGTTGCTTCTTCACATTGGCTAGATTATTTACATCAACCTGGTTTAGTCATTTAACAAGCTCATTGTGTTTTTGAAGGCAATGTTACATTTCAGAGCAGCTGGACTATTTATTTGGCAGTTTATATTCAAATGAGCCTGAAGCACTCTTTTGTCAAAATATAACAGATGAAGTAAAGTCAGGATGGTTTAACTCCTGCTATATTTCTTCTAAGTGTGATTGTTGTTCTGACTTAGCTTGTGTGTTCTAGTACATTTTCAGTAATACTGCTATCTTTTTTTTACTTAGGATTCTTATATCAGACCTACAGAAAGCAGTAGAAAACCAAACTGGACTGAGGTCGTATAGGAATCGAAGGTCCCTCTCTGGGTATAACTACGAAGTGTATCACTCCCTAGAAGAAGTACGTGAAAATTCATATTGTTCCTCTTATCTACTACATTCTCTCTACAAGTTCTGGTTACCTGTTCATCTTCAGAAGTGTTCTAAGCATTTCTTCTTCGAAAATAGACACCTTCTTGAAAAATATATGGTTTTTTAGTATTTGTATTCAAGACCTATCTTTATACATCACTATCTTTGACAGCTTAGGACTTTTTCTTTTTTTAAATAGGTCTTTTACTCCAGTGGAATAAGAGATTTCAGTGAGTGATTAGTCACACTGAGTCTTTTAAGCGATGTGACCAAATGCTTAAGTATTTACACAAGAGGCACAAATACTTAAAAATACATAGATGAAAATTCATGTTTAACTATCCCAGATGATGGCTGGGTAAATAATTTCTGTTGATTTCTGTCTGCTCACATACACAGTTTCAGTCTGCACCAAAGCAAAGTCACTAGACCGGGCATGGAGAGTGCTGCATGTCGAGAAGGTCTGGTGCCTGTGAAACAAATATTGCAGGTACCATTGAATCCTGCAAGTCAATCTGTTTGTCATTCTGTGTTCTGGCAGGCAGAATCAGAGACCTTCTTTCTTTGTTCCATTAGTATTTAGTGAGAATGGTGGAATAGCCCCATCCCCAGATTTTCGATGGACAGCTAATGCATTCCAGTAATATCCAACAATGAAATGGGAAAAACATACTATGTAATTGAAGGCAGCATCCAGACTCTGGCAATAGAGCTATGAGAGCCAAATAATAGTTAAAATGTCAAAACAAAAACAAACAAGCAAGGAAGCAAGCAAAGCCAACAAACAAAAAAGACAAAAATAAAAACGATAGGAAAATCCCAAAACATACAGAGGACTGAGAGCTGAGATTAAGAAATGTATTACATTAGCTTCCCATGAAATGCAAAGATTGAAGCAATGATTTAATTTCTGTATTTGCAGATACAGGACTGGATGCATCATCTGAATAGAACTTATTCAGATCTTGTTCACATGTTCTCTGTTGGAAAATCCTATGAAGGGAGACCACTGTATGTACTCAAGGTAAAGATTAAATTGTCATTAATCAGACTAAAGTCTGGAATCAGAGACAGACACTTTGTTACTTATGTTATAGCATGTACACCAGAGATGCAGCTTAACAGCATTTCCCAGGGATAAGTTGCTAAGATCTAAGTATCTCTCTGAATGTCATCTTCAATGAAGAAAGAAAAAAAAAGGTGGAAAACTAAAAGGCAAATCCTATTTACTTCGATTGGATATACATGAAGATAGATTACAGGACAAGTTCAATTAGCAGGGTTTGGATTTAAGGGGATTGGAAAGCTTTGTGTTTATAGACAACTAGGAGAGCAGTTATGCTGGAGAGGGACCCCAGGGGACTCTGGAGCCCTTCTCAGCCTGTGCCACATACACTTCCTTTTTAGCTGCTGACAAAATTCAAGGGCTGTGTGCTTCCAATTCACATGATTAGGACCACAAATTAGAGTGTGTCAGCAAGACACAAAAAAATTTTAGTTTCAATGTATTTTCATCTCCTGTTGAAGAGTTCTGAAAATTTGATTCTTCATCAGGCTATTCCTGTAGTGTCATTCTTCCTCACCCTACTCCATGTGATATTTAAGGATATCATTCCTCATAAAAGAGGAATTGAGAGATCTCAATTCTCCTTTCGGTTTTTTTTTTCCATAGATCAGCCTCATTGTCTTGGCATACCTGCCAAACCTTATCTTGGCCGTACCTTTGAAAAGAATAAATTTATGTTCCTTTATATGAGTAAATTCAAAATGGTTTAGTGTTTCTCATATTCTATTATTTTCTCATTATTGTGTTTCACTAATGTCATGAGATCTATTGATATTTTGTGAATATTCACACTTCAAGTTAGGTAAAAGATCCCGGCCCTACAAGAAAGCTGTCTGGATAGACTGTGGGATTCATGCAAGAGAATGGATTGGCCCTGCCTTTTGCCAGTGGTTCGTGAAAGAAGTAAGTGTTTAAAGATTTGCAGTCATAAAGTTCCTTCAGTTCAATAAACTTTGCACTTTTCCTATGAAAGATCTAACATATTACTAACAAGAAAAAGAACTAGCTCTATTATACTTCTTTTTTTATTATTTGTAGAATACTTAAGTGCTTGATAAACAAAGCCAATAGCGACAGCCAGACACAGCTAGGCACAGGGCAAAAATATGCCAGACACATATTGGCAGAGATATGAAGCAGGATTTCATTCCAAGACCTAAAAATGTAAAGATTGTGATTCTGATTATAGTCCAGGTAAATCAGTGCCCGTGTGCATTGCTTCAGATCAGATCAGCAGTATCTTTGCTTTAAGGACTTAGTTTAAGAAAGACATTTCTCTTTTGTGTAATTCCATAGGAATAGGAAGATAAAATCACAGAATCATTAAATAGAATCACAGAATTGTTTAGGTTTGAAAAGACCTATAAGATCATCAAGTCCAACTCAACCTAACACTGCAGAGTCCACCACTAAACTATCTTCCCAAGTGCCACATCTACACGTCTTTTAAATACCTCCAGAGGTGGCAAATTAACCACTTCCCTGGGCAGCCTGTTCCAATGTTTGACAACCCTTTCAGTGAAGAAACTTTTCCCAGTATCCAATCAAAACCTTCCCTGGCTGAACCTGAGGCCATTTCCTCTTGTCCTATCACTTGTTACTAGGGAGAAGAGGCCAACTCCCACATCCCAACCTCCTTTCAGGTGGTTGTAGAGAGCAATAAGGCCTCCCCAAGCCTTCTTTTCTCCAGACTGAACAACCCCAGCTCACTCAGGCACCAGCTCTGCCACCCTTTTCTGGAGGCGCTCCAGCCTTTCAACGTCCTTCTTGTAGTGAGGGCCCCAGAACTGAACACAGGATTTGAGGTGCAGCCTCGCTAGTGCCGAGTATAGGGGAACAATCACTGCCCTGATCCTGCTGGCTACCCTATTGCTGATACAGGCCAGGATGCCATTGGCCTTCTTGGCCACCTGGGCACACTGCTGGCTCATGTTCAGTTGGGTGTTGACCATCTCCAGGTTCTCTTCTCAGCAGGCATCGTTCCAGCCACTCTTCCCCAAGCCTGCATGGGGTTGTTATGACCCAAGTGCTGGATCTGGCACCTGGTCTTGTTGAACAGCTGGCCTCAACCTATCAAGAATTCATCCACCATGTTTCCATTATGGCAACTATCATAATTTTCCTACTGTGCAATGGCTTCCAGATCATCCTGTTTGTTGCCCATCCTGTGTGCATCATTGGTGTAGATGTACTTCAGCTGGGCTATTGATCCTGCCACTTTTTGCAGGGAAGAGGGAAGAAGCCCTAATTCCTACATAACCATTCTCAGGTACTTCTGTGCTTTTTAAAACATCATTAACTCTTGCATGTTTGCTGCCACATGGATCTCCATCCACTACCACCACTGAGATGGCAGACCAAAGAAACTCGCTAGAACACGGTCCCTCAAACATGGGTGTGGTGCCCCTAGGCTTATCTCTATTGAGCCTGGTTTTATCCCCTCTTCCCTTCAAATCTAGTTTAAACGTCTTTCATAGAGGTCTTTCATGAGACCCGCTAACTTCTGAGCAAAGATCCTTTTCTCCCTTTGATACAGGTGTACCCTGTATCACCAGAAGCCTGCTGTTGTTTAAACCAACACATGATCAAAAACCTCAGAATTCTGCCAGTGACACCAGTCTCAGAACCAGATATTTATCTGCTGGTTCTTCTTCATAGATGGATTTCATCCAAAAATATGGATTTCATATTACCTGAGTATCACACTATTCCAGTGTTTCTTTGATCCTATCCTATTGGACTTATTCCCTTTTACCTTTGATGTCTAGGATTTAGCCTTCATATACATCCATTTGCCATCTTCCAAATGAGTGGTGAAATCAAATGGAATTTGAACTTTGCTTTCCCAATTGTGGGGGGGGTGGGTTGTTGGGGTTTTTGGTTTTTGTTTTTTTTTTTTAATATCAGCACTTAATCTATTCTAATTTGAGATTCATTAGAGATGAATGATATATTTACAGGATTTTGCCTTTTCCCTTTAGCCAACAAACTTTTGTTCAATGTGGGATGTTAGCTGCACAATGGAGACTATCTTGCAATGTAATTCGCAGAACTCAAAGGTAGCTTAATAAAACCCCACAGGTGTGGTTTGAGTATTTTTGCATAGCTTTTTTTTTTTTTTGTGCACAAAATAAGGGATGCAGTTTTTTTTTTACAGGGTTCTTCCTATAAACACAATTTTCTCACTTTTTTTGCCACCCATATCACTGTGGAATTCTGCAACGTATTAATACCTCCTCTGATTTTGTGAGAGTAAACTTGTGCATCATCAACATGCTAATGTGTTAGCTGAGATGATCATTTAACCATATATGGCCTTCCCTCAGAAGTCAGAGCAGCCTACAGAGCAAGCACAGAAATAATGAGGCCACAGCAGTTTGGATGGGCCCATCACCATGGCCGCTGATTCATGGATAGGCTAAACCAGATCCAGGAGCCGATCTCCGTAGTTCGGCATGCAATGATGGTGTGTCTTCTTATTAGGTCTTCTGTCAGTGTAAAGATAAACTAACTTACAACTATTTCTGAGCATCTTTTCTACCCAGGAGAACAGGCTGCAGTAAGTAAGGAAGATATTTGGGACAGACAGGCAATGATGGGAAAGGCTGTTGCCCAAGTACCTCTTCCTTATCAAGGTTTTCCCATAAAGCACTACAATGTTGCAGCAAGGTAAAAGTCACAAGGTTTCTCCGTGGAGATTATGGCAGAATATAGGCTCTGACTGTGTATATAAAAACCTTCTGGTTAGTATCTGAGATCTTCAGAGAGTAGCTTACTAGTAAGGTTGCTTCACTAACTATGTAAAATCACTTTCCTATAAAAAAAAGTCTCTGCACAGTCCCTCAAGACTACAAGAATGTACCACCTTTGTCTCCCCATCCCTTCTTAGAGCAATATTTCATCCAGCATTAAAGCAAAAAGCATCAGGAAAAGAATATATTATGCTCACAGTCTCCATCATTATATTAAAAATTACTGGGAGAGATGTTTAGATCGCTTGGTTTAGGATATTGCTTTTCTCATTATATGAATTAGACATTTTTAATAAGAACTCTGGCAAAACTGAAGGTCTCACTGTACTTCAAACTCTGCAATTCTCTTTTACTGGCAAACTCCTCCCTTAAACACCTCTGCAGCCCAGCAGCTCACTTTTCCATCCTCCCTGGCACTTACGGGCAGTTCTGAGAAAGGGCAGTCAGCTTGGAGACAGATTTTTCCTGGCATGTTTGTTGACTCTAAGGAATAGCACCACAAGCCTCTTGATTTAAGGCAAGGAAAAGGAAATGTTGGATATACATGATGTTGGCTTCTTTTCTAGCAGGAACAGCATATGTGCATTCCTTTGCTACACAGGCAGTCTGAAATGTTTTATTGAGCTTTCACTTCACCCTGTGATCTCTGTCATTTGGTTTTATTGAAATATATCCATGTTCCTGTATACAACTAGGCTTTTCAAGTGATTTAGCTTAGAAAAAAAAAGTCAAACCTATGCATGAATGTCACTTAACATTCAAGCTCAAGACTGGGTGCTACAAACTTGACCAGATACTCCTACTCAGCTTGGGAACCCTCGGTTATCATGCCTACACCTCTGGCAGCTTCTGAGTGTCAGTGGATTTGCTGCAAACAATGGGAGATACCACCTCCATAGGGTGGAAGTGCCATTGAGCAGCTGCTAGTGTGGCTTGCCAGGGTATGGGCAGTGGCTTCCCACTTTCTACAAAGCATCTGGGGTTGTTTAGCTGAGAAGGACCTGGATCCCACCCATTTATAAACGCAAAACAGACTAAAGCAGATCAGATTTGGGAAGTGAGGATGTAAGGCTGGAGCATGGGAAGGCAGGAGGCTGCCTGCCACACAGGCTTGTTCTGTATGTGGGCAAATACAATAGTCAGAGAAAAAGAACAGATGAACTAGAGAGAAGTGGAGAAAGATACAGAAGTTAAAGATTTAAAAGGGAAAGAGAATGCACAGGAAAGAGTTTTGCATTATGTGATAATACAATTCAAAGTAAAAAACCACCTTACTCACATTTTGAAACAAACAAAAAGAAAGCAAAGACCATGGTTTGGGGAGTTGCGGTTTTTTGTTTTCTGTGTGTTGGGTTGGTTTTTTTTCTTATAATCTACCCCAGAATGAGCTTTAGCCTTGACTTTCTGATACATAGATCTGGTGTTAATAACAACATCACTGTTTGTTTCTGTAGAAGGCGCCCCTGAATGTCTGTAGTCTCTCAGCTAAAGATAATCAGATGTCCTATCAGGATTAGCAGTACTAGTGGCCTCTGACAAACCCTACCTCATGGTCATTGAATTTCAAATCAGTAAAGGGGAGAGCCTGCACACACAGGATCAGAGCTTTGGGTACCAGCCAATGAGCCACAGAGAAGTGTCTGCACCTGTATTGTAGTGAAATAGCACTCATGTTACAGTGCAATTCCACCCAATTTCAAGCCTTACCCATCTGGAAAGGGATGGAAAAAGGGCTCTGATAGTGGAAATATTAAGAGACCAGTGGTGGAGTAGGGAAGCATGATGAACTGTAAAAGGAAACAGAACTGATTACATGTGGGCTATTGTGAAGGGAGCCTGAAAAGATAAACGAAGACAGAACTTGTGTCCACAGCAAGATTTACCAAAAAAAAAAAAAAAAAAAAGAAAAAAGGTTTGTTAATCTAGAATTTTAAAAAAGCTAAATGGGATCTAATACATTAAAACACGTTAGTAAATATTACAAAAGATACTCCATTATGTGTAATTACTTTGTAGAAAGCAGTAGACTTTAGAAACAAAATTCAGACATAGCATGTGTCTAAAATAACCCTCATAGAAACAAAGACACAAAACCTACAGTCTTTTTGCAAAAATACAATTATTTGTACATATGCTAAGTAAGAACATTTA